TTAAGTTTTGGCTCTTTGATTTGATATTTAATCATGTAAGAATAAGCACCTAATTTTAAAATGTAGACTGTTGGGTTATTTTATCATGTGTAGCGTTATGTGGACGTTGAGGTTTGTGTGCTTCTCAGCAGACCCTTTCATTAACTGGCTTTGCATTTATACCCACTATTCATGCATAAACAGTGCACTTTCAGAGGCTGATGAAGATTACTACATGGTTTCAGTTTAAGCATCAGTTTTTAAGCACGTACACTTTCCTGAAAATTAATTTCTTCTTAAGCATTACAACTTCCTTGAAAAGCTTACAGGGAACTCATTCTACACTTGTTTTGAGGAGATGAGGACTGATAGGAAACACTTTCTTTCTTTCTTTTCTTTTTTCTTTCTAAAGGCGTTTTCCTTTTTCTGTCTAAACAGTGAGAAAAACCTAGAGATCAATCTGCTGTATGCCAAATCATTTACTTCTATTTAAGGTTAAGTCCGTTTCCACTTAGTGCAGGTTTTGCAGGATCAGACCAAAAACTGGACGTTACACGGTGGAGGGGTTTCTTTAGTCGGTGAACCTCAACGTATTTGGCAGAGGAGCCAATATCCTATTCCTCGTTCTGTGCGTGAAGGAATCGGAGCCACAAACAGGAACAACTGACGACAGACAGAGACTGAAGAGAGTCCGATGCTTGCTCTACATTCCTCACCAGCAATGAGATCTCTTCCACTAAGTGGTGGAATGAGCTGCCTATAAATGATTTGTTTGTCAGCAAGTTGGTCTTTTATCTGATCTGGAGGAAAGATGGCACAGCTCACAACTAGCAGTTTCCATTCTCAGCAAAAGCTGCTTAGACAAAGCTTAAAAAAGCTGCTTATTGTGTGGGCCAATATCGCTTAGTCTCTTAGCCACCTTAACTGGGTTACTGAATTGAAAGCTGGGAGCTGGGATTCGATATCTTCTTGCTGGACAGTGTCCCCAGTTACCCTTGCCCTTTGCTGTGTGATAAACCTCCACAAGCTGTATCAACCAAACCAGAAAACTGCAGTTAGTTATGTAGCGTCCCAGGATCCCAGAGGGCTCTTTGTTCCCCGAGGAGGTCCCAAGACTTGGGGTCTGCTTCCAGCTATAAATCTGAAAGAGTTTTAAAGTCACTCTGGGTTTAAGCTGGTAGAAGATGAGGCTTTTGGGCAGTTGGCACAAGTAGCGGTTGTGATGCCATGGAAATAATTGTTGTGATCGTGATCAAAGGCAAACAAAAACTAACGATCTGAAAGGAGCCTGATGGCAAATCCAGGCTCTCAGTGGGCAATAAGAATGGAGGAAGCCTGGAGAGCAGCGAGAAGGACTGGGAAGCCAGAGCTGAGCAGATCCAGCATAGGAAGAGCAGAAACTGTTGAAAAGAGTGTCCCACAGTGCTGGAGAGCTGCAAACTGCATGGAGCTCTGGAAGCTCTTGGGTCTCTGTCTACCAAAGTGTCATGTGAGATTTATAGCAAGTGAGCAGAGACGGAGTTGATCCAAGTGATAATATGGGTATTTGACTGGAGAGAGGAGGAAAAAACTTGTCTTCTCTTTTGACAAAGTTGTTTGTTTTTTTTTTTTTTAAATGACCTTTTTCAATAAAGACTAGATCAGAGTGGGAGAGTTTCTTTCATGAGCAGTATGGGAAAGTGATCAAAAAAAGAGTCTTCGCACCATAACAAGCCCCCAGTTTGAGTAACGCTTAGGTGGGTGAGGAGAAAAGCCAACCTGCTTCAAAAAAAAAACAAACAGGAAAAAAAAAAAAGAGGTAGCTGAAGGTGAGTAGCAGCAGTTACCAAATTTCCATGGTGCTGGGATTTCCCCTCCTCTCCACCCATCCTTTAGGGGAGGTGGCTCAGCTGTTATCTCTCCGCTGAGCAAAAGCGCTATGCCACTTAACTGCACAGCAGTTAATATGAGATCAGAACAGGGAGGGGTAAAGAAACCCCATCAGTGAAGTTGGGTTTTTTGTTTTAACGCGTATTTAAGCCGAGTGCAGCCTGTATGGCATGTATAGAGCAAGTACTGGGCTCTGTTTAATTAGTAGGCTCTGCAGTCCTGAACTGGGGCTCAGCGGGTTTCCATGTGTAGTTTACGCATACGGGCAGGTGGGTTTTTTTTGTGGGAACGCATCCTGGCTAAATTTGACTGTGCACCTTCCAATGTAATTGCTGTAGGGCTTGGACATGTGAGAGAGTCGATGGGTGTTGGGGGGGGGGGGGGAACTTAGTGGAAATAAGTGTGTTAACAGGCGGTCAGGCTTGGCTAGGGTTCCTCCTGCCGAGCTCCCACTGCTCTTGCTGCTTGTTTCTCCCAGTCCACTTGGGCAAAGTCATCTCTCTTCTTGCTTTGAACCAATTTACAGTTGGCTGCATCCTCCTTTTTCTCTGGAGTGAGTTGCAGTTGAATTTAGGTTGCAAAGCATGTGACACAGATGTGTGGGGAGTGGCTGGGATTTTTGGGCTGTTGGTTAAAAAGCTTCTGGAAGTGTTTAGCGTTCTGGAGGAGGCTGCAGCCAAGAGGAAACATAAGGGTTTGAGGGCCGATACGCCCTAGCTACCAAAGCAGTGTGGCTCAGACCACCTAGAAGTGCTCTGCTGACCACAGCGTGGGAACTGAGGAGCTGGAAAATAGATTGGTTTGTAAGGAGATGGCAAAAGAGGGACTGGTGGCCAAGAGCTATGCGCTCTACCTTTCTCACAGGCAGAAAAGTGTCTCTGTGCGGTGTTGGAAGTGGAAGTACTGATGTTAACATGCTGACAAACTTGAACAGAATTGGAGGAGGTACCGTTCTTCGGTTAGATAAGAGAGATAGGAGCAAGGCTTGCTCGTTTGTTGTTGGACCTTTCAAAACCAGGAAAATATTGTTCAGTTATTGTTACTCCCAGTTGTAAATGGGACACCATCTTTTTTATTTTTTTTCTTTTTTGTAGAATCATATATAACTTATTTGCTAAAGCAATTTTCAGTTTTTGTCATTTTTCTCATTTCAAATTCTGTTGAATAACAACCATTTTAATAAACTAAGGGGAAGAACCTTATTCTTTTATTTTATTTCCAGGATCAAGATTAAATTTGATGTGCTCACAAGCAAGGAACAGTTGCTGTCACTTCCGAATGAAATATGGTTATGTTGTTCTTGGCTGTTGCAGCACTTAGAGTAAAAAAATATATATAAATATATATATATATATATATACAGCTGGGCTTCAGCCCATAATCGTAACAATCGTTACGGTGATGAATGACCCAGAAAATGATCTCATTTTTTCTCAAGAGCTTCCTCAGATCTGTAGTTTTTTCATGAGACAGCCGTTAAGAACGGTTTTGACTTTGCACATACAGTAGGACCCTTTCAGTCTTGTTTTTCCTGTACTTGCACGTTGATAGCATTTCTTCTTGTGACTTTCCAGGAGTTTGATTAAGTATAATTGGGACCAAATACGTTTTCTCTGCAGTTTTTATTGAAGGGCATCACTCTCATGCCCTATGGGCATAATGTAACAGGGTTATCTTGCTGGTTTTGGCCTTACATGGAGTCTTTTTTAACGTGAACGTTTTTCAATATACTTGGTGTATGACCTCTTCCTGTCTCTTCCTGTTTTAATGGAATAAAGTGCTTGCTTTGCAGCCTTTTAAGGAAGCAGTTACCATTATTAATGTAAAAAATTCAGAACAGTAAGCTTTTAGAAGTCAATACAATTGTTATTTAAGAGATTAATTCCTGTGCCAAGTAATACTAAAGCAAAGTAAAGACAGCCACTGAAATTTGAAAAACTCATCTTTCTAAGTGTTAATCAATCATTTACAATGCGATCCTAACCAGAGGGCAGTCAAAATCAAAATAGAATCTGACTGTACCACATGGTGTGCAAACATGAATTTTTCTGAGTGAGAAATTGTTGTGTAAGGAAACTTTTTATTCTGCGTAAATCTATATGTGCAAAGTGTTTTGAAGATTAGCAAAGCAAAAAAAAAAAGTCATGGAAAGCTGCAAACTGGTAAGCTCCAAGTACAAAACTGTTCTTATTTGAAATTTTTTCTTTAAGATTTTGAATGTGCTAGAGATTATTTTATAACTACAGTTTTGCTGTGTGAGCATGCATGGCTATTCTGCATCACTTATATGCATTATCATTTCATTGGTATTAACGCATCTGGCTTAGCATGTTTTGGTCTGCAGTTATTTTTTGCAACTGTTTTTGAAGACTTAAAAATTTATTTTAGGGTAGATATCTGCAAATTCTTTAATTATAAATAACTAAAATTAGAGCCTGTAGGTTTTGATTGTCATTCAAACCTGTAAAATAACTTCTTATTTTCATCTTAGCACAGTTATACTGTTGTCACAAAGACAAGGTATGGGTATGTTTGTCTCATATGATAAAACATGCAGTTAATACAGTTCCTTCTGTTATACATAGACGTACTTTTCTTGTATATAATTAGAAAGACGTTTTACTTGAAGCTCTCCTACAAGCCAGCTTCTTCACTCACATGGATGGACACCAGTATAACTCTCCTACTCATTATGATTGCTCCAAACGTGCGCTAGTGCATGTCAGGAGCAGAATCGGGGCTAGTTACTAAGAACGTGGATGTTGCATCAAAGTGCAATTGGGGGCAGGGACTTCCTGTCATGTGATCCGCAGAAGACGCATGTTCATGCAAATTTAAGAAAGCAGTTTGCTATATAAGAGCATTTTTCTCCCCTCTATCAGATCTGTTAGGAACTAGCCTAGGGGTATTGAATTGTGTTCAAGCTTGTATTGCCGTGTTAGATGGTTACTATCTTAAAAGAATGGCAGAGCAGCTTGTGAAATTAATGAGGTAACCAAGTGAGAACTTAGAGGGCTTTTAGGAAACCTTTTTATCTGTAGTTTGTCCTAATGAAAAACCGCCCTGCAGATAAAGAAGATACTGCTTAACTTATGAAACTAAACCTGATTTGAGGAGGTGCAAACTGACCACTTGCCATCTTTTCTGTCCAGGAAGAGGAAAAAAGGAAGGCAAAGGAAGAAGAGGAGAAGAGAGAGTATGAAGAGTACCTGAAGCTGAAGGAGAGTTTCATAGTTGAAGAGGAAGGAGTTGAAGAATCGATGACAGAGGAAGAGGTATGTTAGGCTGTCACTGCAGTTCCCTTTATCTGTGTTAAACTCGTATTGTCCTTACTGCACTGTATCATGCACCAAATTTGAAGGGGGAGTCAGCCAGTGCTTTTGGTTTTAAAGACTGAATTGTGTATGCAGCACATTAACGTGGAATATTTCCTGGGGAATGTTACAATTCCTCATTCCAGACTCTACTAGGTAGTTTAGAGTGCTAAGGCAAATGCATATCACCGGAAATGAGCACTCTCCTCCCTTCATAGGAGGACTGAAATAAAATCGATCCTAGGAATCAGATACTCTTCTACTGTTGGCACCTCTGCCCCATCCCTGTGCAGTGTGTTAGCAGGTCAGATAATATGAGATGAAAGCAAGGCTAAATTCAGAGTTTGGTGCCCACGTATGTTTGGGGGGTTGTTTGGTTTTGGTTCTGTTTTTTACAGGAATAGAGATGCTGTGAAATCAAATGAAAAATCAAGCTCTAATAGAGCTGGTCTTAAAAGTTTTCTGTTAAGAGAAATCACAGGACACAACCTAGGTGCTGTGGGTTGTATGTTAGAAAACTGTATGTTCTGTGTTACAAATGATTGCTCTGGTTGATAATATTTTAAACGCTGCATAATGCTCTAGCATGCTCCTGTAGTTGCCTGCAGACACGTTGCTTGGGGTGGTGCTTGAAATATAGTACTTGACATAATAGCACAGCAAACTTGAAAAAATTCTGCTGTTGTGGGAGGCAGTGTTCCCATTCAGTCTGCTGAAGAGAAAACATGTTAGACTAATTGCTATCAGTGCTGAAATGGCTCTTGGGTTGCAGCTGCCAAATTTGAGCTGTCCACAACGCCATTTCATTCTACGTATTTTTTTTTTCACGGTAACATGTATGCATTCGCTCCTCTTCCTCCTCTGCTGACGTGACCCTTTTGAATTGAATGGATTTGTCCTTAGTGTAACTGAGAATGGCTGAGGGGTTTGCAATTAGCCAGCATACCTTGGCCTCAGTCACGAGGTCTTACCATGTTCCCCTTCCCATTAACACACTCCCTCCATCATGCCAGATTGACGCCAAGAGAAGTCATGTCTTGTGAGGGGAAATTTTCGGAGATGTAGGAGCAATTAAATGCCTACTTTCTACTGAAAGATCCTTCAGAAATGTGTCCCTATTCTGTACCTTTCCTGTCCAAAATCTACTAGCAGCAAAGTCTTGAAACAGGAGAGCGTGGTGAAAAGATACTCTTCCACCTTTTTGTAAATGAAATGTGTGCAAATGAACACTATGGATACTGTTAGAGGATCAGATTATAGCTAAAAAATTAAATTGATCCATTTGAGATTCCCTTTAAAGCTAGAATGTTTTCACTGGCTATATTCCTTTAGCTGCCTGTCAAGGAGAAATGAATTTTTTTTTAATATGCGGGAACAGAAAAGGTCATTCCTCACTCAGAAGAGTATCAGAAGATATTTTGGTTGGAGGTGGGGTTAGATCTTTAATAGCACATGCTTGGAAAGAGTTCTTCAAAAAATCAGCCAGAGGTACCTAGTTATTTTGGGACATCAACCTTGTCAAAATGGCTACCCTTGTGCTTTGTGCTGGATAATGTACTGGAGCATTTTGGTATCCTGTTACAATTACTTACCCTGCCATGTGTTGTTGAGGCTAGCATGCTCAAATTCATGCTTGAAGTTAAGGGCCTGAATCCCAAGGTGAGCAGTTAATTAAGGCTGATTGATTTGCAGGGTTGCAGAGTAACTTGATCTCCTGTTAACCTCAGTGCACATTGTTTGCATTGCCTTTGAAAATTGAACCACTTTTATTAAAATGCCTGATTTCAGGTGCATAGCTTTGAAAATGGCTTGAGCTTCCACATGTGTTGTGCAGCTGTGTGCTACACTTGACCATCTGCATGAGCTCTCTCCTCAGTCACTCTGTACTTTGTTGCCTCTGTACAAAATGCCCTCAGCGCATGTAACTTAATGCACAGTGCACAAACTCACCCAGATGTAGTTATTTCAGGCTATGTGTGATGTGAAGAGTAAGACTGAAGTATTTATTTTCAGAAGACATGTTAAATGCAAATGGTGCTTGAGCCATACCCTGTCTCAGAAAATACCCTAGCATAAACCCCAGTTACGACTGAATCTAGGGTTCTTATCATTTCAATATCTCCCTGTGCGTGCGTAAAACTTAGGATTGCAAGCTAGATGTATTTTGTATGCAAGTTAAACATGTTTTTGTAATGTTCATGCTCAGAAAAATGGTGATGCATTTAATGTTTACTAATTTAAAATAATTGTTTTCCTTGCTGTATCCAGTCTCGTAGCTTTCTAATGGAATTTCTCGAATATGTCAAGGTAAGCTACTGTTGCTCTTTCTCCTCCGTTTGTACTTGTTATATGATGGAAAATATCTTTGTCAAAGAGCAGAGTCGCGGAAAGAAGAGAAATCTTTACTTCCTTTTCAGTTTGCTTAAATGTTCAGCAAGTAACAAAAGGGATACCTTAAGTAAAGTCTACAGTAGTTACTTAACCATGCATGAACATGTCTATCATCGTTAAAACGGTTTTGGCCATGGTTTTGGCCGTCTTGACTTTCTGGGGTAGGGTTGTAGCCTTTGACCCTCTTCCCTAAGGATGGACACGTATAAACTGTGTGCCTGGTGAATCACACTTCAGATTTATGAATGGAAATGTTTGCTATTGATTGTTGGGGTTGGGATCTTCAGGCTTTTTTGTTTGTGAACATCAACTACTGATATAAAGAAAAAAAATCTCTGCGTCTCAGCTCAGCATGAATGAGAATTGCTGTACCTGCATGTAACCTGCTCTGCAGGATGTGTTTGTATTAGTTTGAAACACTGGCCTTATAAAGGTCAATCAAGCTTTTTGCACGATTTCTTTTCTTGCTTTTCTCTTTGCAGGGTACAATGTTTTCTTAATATTTAGAAAGGGTATTTACAGAAAAGATCATTTGTCTTTAACAGGGTATGTTAGTCTTTCTTTTGTGGTATTGTATGGCGGGCTATTTAAAAACTGTGGTGTGTTTGTGATGATTTGCCCTTTTCAACTGTAAGGACAAACGTTTCTTCTTTCATTATCGATGTGTCAAATTTCAAATGCGTTTTTCTTTTTTTAGCCTAACATAACTAACTTTATATAAATACATTTTTGATCCTAATTAATCCTTTTCCACCTCTGTTGGAAGCAGGTTTCTGTCGGTATTGCATGTTTGTGGAAGGTTTCATTAGTAAGCGATTCTTGCACATACCTCGTGACCTCCTAACCATTTTGCTAATCCAGAATCCTATACTCTGGGCCGTTTTTGGACGTCCATTACCCCAGCAAAAAAGGAGAATTAGAAATAGATTTGTCTCATGGGTAACTCTCCACAAGGAGTCAGCTTGAGTGGTTGCCGCTCAGGCCTGAAAACCAGCTTGATCTATCCAGAGTCACTGCAAAGCTACACTGAAAGCATCTTTTGCAGCGCTGCTCTCTGCCTCCTGTGTCACTGGGACTTCTGATGGTGTTACCTTATTGCCACTCTGCCACAGTGAGTTATGTTTGCATCTGTCAAGTACTACTTGATCCTACACAATCCCTAGAGGTAATTTGGAAACGCATAGGCTAGCAGCACTCAAGGAGCTAGTACGTATCTTCATTGCTGCAGCCTAAATGAAAATAACCGAGTTGTTCACTAACCAAGTCCTCAATGTGAGCCAGTCAGCTCAGATCAGAGTGCCACCAAACGTGGATCAGACAGCTGAGAACAGATTGGAATACCTGTGGGTAACACCCATTTAAAGAGTCGAAATAAAACCCTTGTGTGAGGATAAACCATCAGATGGTAGGTGTCATTTTGGAGCCATGCAGTGATTTTGGTGTTGTCTTCCACACAGAAGCCAGAGAGATTTCTTTCAGAGAGATTTCTTTGAGAACAGGGATTTTGAAGTGTCCATATCTGATAAGCGCATCCTCTGTTTCAGTTAGTAACTGTGTGGGATGGACTACATGGTGTGGTGTTATCCCAGTCATAGGTTCCCATCTAAGGCTTTTAAGATGCTACTGGAGGCTAAGTGTGGGGCTCTTTATTAAATTAAACAAGCTGCCCTGGGATAGCAGGAGGTCGAACAATAGGATATTTTCGTGTCCCTGGTGATCTGCTAAAGTCAGGAGGACTTCTTAGGGATAATGTTATGGGGTCTGGTTCTGCACGTTGCTCTGGTGGTTATGTTGGATGGAACAGATTAGTCACAGAAGTCTCAGTTCAGTGTTTGAACACATGTGTAGTTTTATATTAGTCACTTTTACCTGACGTCAGAGAAGTTAAGCCCAAGCCGAAGAACCTAATTCAGAAAGCGCTTCAGCACCTGGTTTGCCACATAGAGATAAGCTGCAGAAGTGGGGCATTGCTTTCTTTTACAAATTCTTATTAGTTTTTTTAATCTTGAAAGTATACTTAATACATAGACTGTGTATTGCCCTCATCCTCTCTCATATTCACAGAAACTGTTGACTTGCATCTAGAAGCAGTGCTAAGCTGCTAGTAGCTGTCTAAAAGACTTATAAATTAAAAGAGCAATTGCTACTTCAAGAAATAAAATTTAATTTAGCTGTTCTGTTAAATAACCTATTTTACTAGTATTACTGACCAGAGATACCTCACCTTCATTCTTAGGGGTGTTTGAAATGAAATGCAATCACTTTTTTCCAGCTCTGGCTTGCAGGATTGTTTTAAATGGAATGTTTTTCAAAGGCACCAAAAGGATTGAAGCTCCCAATTCTGCTGTTCTGGAGGCTGAGCATCTCCCTTCCTTTAGGGGTTTCATAGCCCTAGATTAGCTTAACTCCTCTGCTCCCTTGTCACCACTGTATACCGTAGTCTGTGGCATTGTTTCTGCTGCAGTAGCTGTCCTGCGTGTTTGCTTTTAACAGTGGCCAGTCCCAAAGTTACAGACCGACGGCTCTGTTCTCAGAGGAGCAGAATAACCGACCTTTATTGTTTCAGCGATGCTGTAGCTGCCCGTGGCACACCTTAACAAACCAGCTCTCTGGGCGCTGTCAGCACTTCAAAAGAAAACGAAGTGGGCAGCGGTTAAAGAGTGGCTGAGCTGTTTGCTTGCTCTGGAGTGCTAGCTCTGTCGGCCCAGAGAAAGACGAACTTGCGCTTTGTCCATAATACTGTTTTCACCTGGCTTAACAGTGTTCATATCACGGAGCGCTTCGGGATTATAGCCAGTGAATTAAAATAGCAAACTCCTTTCAAATACAGTGAAAAGGGGATAGGAAAGAACCCAGAGGCTTTACCCCTTCCCGTTTTTCTCTAAGAAAAATGACTCTTACGAGATAAGGAGAAAGTCCTGCTCGTCTCCTGGGCGGGCGCTCTTGCACTGTTTCGTCCCTTGCTGGGGACGGCAGCACAATCGTACCTGAGATTACATGAATCCAGTAAAGTATGGGTGCCTCTATATTGCCCTATGAAAGTTAAGCCTTTCTCGAAAATGTGAAGAGTTTGGTGAAGTGTTTCACTGACTCAGGCTCTCACAATGTGTAATTACTGCATTTCAGAGTGTGCGTGTGTGTAGAGTGGATCCTGGTTCCACCCCATCCTCTGGGTTCTTTCCACAGCACGATCTATCCTAGAAAGCTTCCGGTAATTTTGGTCATTGAGGGTGAATACTTTTAAGTGAATGCTGTAAATCCTGTTTTTTCTTGTTTAGTGTGGTTTTGCACCCCCTGTCCTTTTTAAAAGAAGATGTGACGAACCTTGGCAGTTCCCAGCTCTGAGAACTGAATTCCATGGACTGGTTCCAATTCCGTATGTTCAGTCCATGGTATTCAGTTCTCTAGCTTGGCTGTATCAAACTTCACAACAACTAAGTCTGTGTGTGGCTTTTTGCTTTCTCTTCTTGTTTTATTAATGGAAAAGAGCTCATCTATTTCAGTCTCTCTTCAGTTCTTCAGTGTCCTTCCAGTGTGCTCTCAAGATCAGAAACAAATGTATTTGTCACTTGGAAGTATTATATCCATTAACATAAACGTAACTCATGCGGCTATAAACACACCAGTCCTAGGAATATAGTCTGGAAAACTAACTAAATGCTTTTCAGCAGTTTTGTATTTTCCAAATTCCTTGCAAACAACAGTGCATCCTTTCACTGTATTTAAACGGATAAGTTTCTAAAACTTTTGCAGACAAGAAAACAGGAACCAAGTAGCTCCAGTCTGGTGCACCAGATGTTTTCTCTCTGAGGCTGTGGAGCCACAGAGAAGCATAAAACCAAATGTGAGCAGTGGTAACTGTGCCCTGACTGAGTAAGGCTGCAGTAAGATTGTCTTTCAAAGGCAAAACGAAAATTTGGAGTGCCTCCTTCTGCCTTTGTTCTCCACGATCATCTCACTGCCCATCGAGGAGGGCGCGAGCGGGTGCTTTTCCAGCACTGAAAATGTTGATAAGATATTCACTTGCCTGGGAAGATTATTATGACATTAAGTACACATGACCTTAGTAAAACATACTAAAACACTGAAAGCTGCAGAAAAGATTGACCGCATTATGTATGCACCGATGTGCCCCAGTGATTGTTTTTAAAGGTATTCTGCAACATCTCTCACACAAAGGGGTGTTGCTAAAGCATACTGGGACTTAGAGGTGACATTGAGAAATTCAGGTGGCAGGAAGAACAGCTCCATGGCTGTTTAATTTGCCTGTGCTCTTCCTGTCCTCCTAAAGTAAAAAATGGTTCAGGACAAGCATACAAGCATTGGCAACTGTATTTCAGTCCTCTCTTAAGGGGGCCAGCACATTCAGTCTTTCCACAGAGCAGACTAGTTTAAGTAATGTAAGTTATGGTTTGTTTATTTGCTTTGCTTTTGCCAAAGAAAAGCATTTTCTAGGAAAATAAGTTAGAATGACAAGCTCTTCTTTTCCCAGTTAAATGCATTTTTTCTTATTTGGTGAAACAGGAAAAAAAAAATCAACCCCCTAGTTCAGCTACATTTAACTCTTCCTTGTTTCCATAGAGAGCAAAGGTAATTCAGCTGGAGGACTTGGCTTCTCATTTGGGTTTAAGAACACAGGTAAGCAGTATGCTTTGGGGTGCATGTACAAGTGATGAGTTTGGAAGTTTTGAAAGAAAGTGGGTAAATAGGATAATTCCCAAGCAGGTTTCTCATTCCTGCAGAAAAGATGAAGTTCAGCAAAGTCAGCTCGAAAAATGTGGCCATTCATCAGAGAAGTACTGAGACAGTAAAAGCTTGCTGCCTTGCAAGGTTATTCCAGTGGAACGTCCTCAGTCTGACTCTTGTGCAGATACTTGTTGGCTAATGGGTCTGAAAGTGTTTGCAGATCTAGTAAGAGGGCAGTTCAGGATGCTTGGGAATCAAGAGTAGAGCTGGAAGCAGACTCAAATGCTGACTGGATAACTGGACAATGTTTTTATATTTGCAGTAAGAGATGAAGTGTTTTGCTGCAAATCTGTATGTTTCAGACTTTTCCTTGTTGCTCTTGATTTCTTGCTTCTTCTTAGAATATGTAAGAAATTTTTTCTTTTGGTACGTTATTTGAGAATGCAGTCCCTCTCCGCACCATATAGAGTCTCTCCTCCCATCTGTACACTTTTTTTTTTTCTGTCCTCTTGTTCTGTAGCTAGTCTGATTTTGAGGTGCATCTTCATAGCACTGTGCACTGATCGAAGTCCAGACTTCCATCCCTCTGCCTAGGCCTTATACCAGCACTTTATTTAAGTGTGCAGTGAGCCAGTTCAGGGAGTTGATGCAGTAGAAATTGAAGCTGTAGCTTACTTTTGCAGTCACATGAGTGCAAATAAGGGAGGTAGGCAGGACTGCAAGAACCTAGGCTTTGATATTGTCTTAAACTGTAGTGGAACTACGTGCTTGGCGTGAGCATACAGTTAACCCCAGCGTACATTCAACAAGTTGCACTTTGGAGTGGTAGAGGACACCTTAACTGGAGAAGGGGTTGGAGGTGGAAAACACAAAAGCTTTGGGATATACTCAGTTTAGCTAGGTTCGTGGAGGAGTCGTCAGCAGGCTTTATGGAACTAGCTGGTTGCATTGGCACAGTACAGCCTTTTCCTGGGAAGATACGTATGACCGCCTTTCCATTAAATAGTTTTGTAATAGCCATAACTTCCAGAAAACGTGACAAAAGTCTCTTTTGTGGGTAGGGAGATTGCAAAAGCATGCCTCCTTCTCCTAAACCCAAACTATTTCTGATGAAGAACTTAACAGTATGCATCTGTGTGGAAATACTGATGTGTATTCTTCACTGTACTATTTAGCACTGATTGATTAAATGTGAACTCCCATCTCTAATATGTCTGAACACATGAATTTTTTTTATCCTCCTCCTTGATCAGTTTGTTATTCCTTTGTTCCCCTCTGAACAGGATGCAATTAACAGAATCCAGGACCTGATGGCAGATGGCACTTTAACAGGTGACAGCCAAAACACTGGGGGACTTTGTTTTAACGTATGGATAGGTGGTGCAGAAAACATCTTAACTACTGTAAGGGGAGGCATCAGTGTAATTTCTCCTTTAAACAGAAGAGGATCGCAGCAGGACGTGATCAATAGATGTGTTAATTATCTCTGCTTCAGCTGTTGTGAAACCCTTCTGTTTAATGCCACTACTATGTATGTGGTTGCTCCCATGATGCATTAGCCAAAGTTTCAGGGTGAACGTCTGCAGCAATGCAAGGACCAGCGTAAGCCTTGCATATGGTTTAAGCCCTGCTTTAGATGTTGCTGAGCAATGACCCGCAAATGATGTCCTCTGAAACGCTAACTTGAAAAATTGCTCACGGTTGTTTTGAGCAGTTTGCAAGTCTGCTTTAAAGGTGTTCTGTCTAAAGCCAGTACCAGGGCATGGCAGTCTGTGGGACAAGCAGCCATCCCAGAGCAGCCCAGAACTGGGACCTGCAGTAAGTGAAGTGCCTGTTCCTAGCTGTGTACCCTACGCAATCATAGCTGGAAAGTAAGCAGAGTCAGAGCGTGTGGATAGCTTCCTGCCTGAACAAGTCTGTGTGCTTTATTGCTGGGAAGTCACTGCTTTCTGAGGATGAAGTAGGGGAAGGTGCCACTGCAAACATATTTGCAGGCCTGGAGGTTGTTTTCCAGCCATGACCACAGTGTCTTGATGGGTACGTTTGGATACCCATTTGAATGACCTAAAACTAGTCTGAATCAGAACATGAGGAGGTGTACTGTCCGGGCTTTAGCTGTGGCCTTAAAGGCATGCCAATGGGGCTCTCTGCCCTCTTGCATTTGGTCCTAAAGTGTGTTAGGAACAGAGAGAGCTATTCACACTGTTAATGGAGCAACTGCCGTTTGGAATTTGAGCTTCATTGCCTTCCAGAGGATAACTTGGAATGACTGCGCTAAGCTCCACAGGGGACCCAAATCATTTTGGGGGCCCTCCTGCCTCTCTGCCTTTACTCAACAGGTTGCCTGGGCCCAGAACTTCAGTACCAGAGCTATTTATTTGAAGTAGCTGCTGTGATACTCTCAGACTTAGCTGTGAAAAAAATGAAAAAAAAAAAAGAAAAAAAATCCATTACTTTGCTGTTTTCTGAACAAAGCTAGTCTTACCAAAGCACTCAGGTATTGTCCTAGCCCTATGCAAAAACATGACAGTAAAGATGGAAGTAAAAGCCTGCCTGCTAGCATGTTGTTCTGTCTGCCCTAGATACGAAATGCAACCTCATCAGTTTAAACCTTCCTTCCAAAAGAAGTGGCTATAAAGTGACTGATGTCTGTTGGGATTTGAGAAGAGCTGAAAGTGCTGATTCTCAAGTCCTTTCTTTCCCCCTTGTAGGTGTGATTGATGACAGAGGAAAGTTCATCTACATCACTCCAGAGGAGATGGCTGCAGTGGCTCGGTATATCAAACAGAGAGGACGGGTCTCCATTGCAGAACTGGCCCAAGCAAGCAATTCCCTGATCAACCTCCAGCCTGACAGCGGAGCTGTCGCTCAAACAGTGGCGTGAGAGTGCAGTTTGAAGGCGCTGCAGGAGTTTAACGTGACAGTGAATAAGCCACGTAATTAAAAACAAATAAAAAACCCTCCAATCCCTTCACAGTTATTTCAGATGAGGCACTGTTTAAAATATTAGCTGCAAGACTTTGGTAAAGTTTTGCTTTTGATTCTGTTAGATAGTTGGTATAAAATTGGACTGTCATTTGCACAACAGATGCTAGTCAGGAACTTGGGGCTCAACCACTCTGACGCACCTGTACCCCAGAAATTTTAGTAGTTCGTACCTGGTTATTTTTCTGTCTTGCCAGTCAGTCCCATGTGAACATACCAAACTTCTCATTGTTTCCACATTCCTGTGTCAGTATCAAATACATTCAGTCGTGATTGCATTCAGGATTCGCCAGGCTTGCCCTGAACGTGCCGACCTGTATAATTTTGTGGCAATGATGACTGCAGCCTGGAACGATAGCTCTGTGGGGATGAGGCATGCAGATTTTGTCTTCTGCATCAGTATTGGAAGGGCATGGAAAAAAAAAATTTTGCTCTTACTGAAATGATAAAACTTTCTGGACTGCATGGTATGTTGTGAGAACTTCCGAAGGCAATTTCGGAAAGCTTTTGCAATATAAATACTTTCGCTGTATGAATACCTGTTTGGCTTGGTTTGCATAATGCCAAAAGTTTACTCGCAGCCAAGCTGCGATAATGTCTGTAGCCAAGAGAGACAAACATCTCCAAGAAAAGGCAAATTCCCCTAATTCGCTGTGCAGGCCAATTCTGCTGACATCAACTGGGTTCTGATGGTTTGTCTTTTGAAGTAAGAGCCAGCTCAGTGTGCCTGAAGGCCTCGGACCCCTGTGTTTAATAATTAAAAGAAAAGAGAGAGAGACCAAGTTCAGGGACTATGAATCATGCAGTTAATGTTACAAGTAAATGATTATTAATATCTTTTTTAATTGTGGGGGTCAAGTGTATTTCCTGCGTCAGAAATATTTATTTTCTAATAGCCCAATAGATGCTTTGTTAATTTTCCTTTCTGTAATGAACAGAATCTACCAGGATATACAGTAACGGGGTGAGGGGTGGGCTGATTTTGTCTATGCCCAACTTAGAGGTAAATTGAGTTGACTGGAAGCTACGTTACTAGTGAGATGAGATAACAATAAAACAATGGAAGGAAGCACGTTTCCTGTTTAACCTCTGTGCTACTGCTGAATGCGTGCTACTCTGCAGGAGTGCTGAGTTAGAGTGCAGCACCACATGGTGATGTGAAAACTGGTACATCCTCACTGTGTTGCAAGACGGTAACCAGCAAAGAGGTAACTTGATATTTGAGGCTTATCTCTAAATTATTCAGAATTTGATTTTGCCCTTTATATCTGGTTTGTGTTCTGTCCTAGACTATTCTTGTAGTAAAATACATTTTTTTTGAAAGAATTGAAGATTGGAGTTTGTGAGTTTTTTAATGCATGAAAGAATTTTGTAAGATAATGGAGACATTAAGATATACCATAGATTCCACTGTATCATTCAAAGGCCAGGGGAAGTCCATTAAATCCACTGGAATCACTCTAAAGCGCACTCACAATTTCTGTGAGTGTAACAGGAATATGAACGTGTTCACTGTGTAGTGTAAGCTTCCTTCTCCCGCTCTGCTCGTGCAACTGCACCAGCACAACGGTCCTGCCTTTTTTTACATGGGGCAGGTTCTGCCTCACAGTTTTGTAGCGAAGTCCCATCTTCAAAGCTTCAATTTAAAAATATTGCTTAGCTAGCCACTAAAGCAGCCACGCGTCTGGTACAGCAGTGTCCCTCCACGTTAATCCAGAGAGCAGCCTGTGAGACATGGCTGGCAGGCTTCTGATGCCTGTGCTAAACCTAAACCAGAGCGTGAGATCAAGATCCAAGTTGGATGAAGTCGGATCCAAGAGCTTACAGATCTAATCCTTTTTTTCTTCTTCTTCCCAGCATGAAGTATCTATGCAAAGTTTTCCACAGTGACAAACTGGCTACTTAATCTCTTCTCATAGGCTTCAGATGGTATTTGAGGCTGCTGCCTCTGGAGTTAATTTTTTGCACAACTGTGGGAACAGCAGCCAAAACGTGCTTTAAGTGCAACAATACCTTTGTCTAGATAAGCGATGTGAAGTCAAGTGCGTCAAGACCTGTTGCTTCACAGCACCTGGCCTTGTTATTGTGATGCTCCTGTTCGGTGCATGGTTCTTGGTGTTGCATTATTTCTTGGCACTTGCGCTATGACACATTATTGCTACCTTAAATGGTGCAAAAGAGGATTAGTTAACAAAAGTGAGAGTACGCACAGCTGCCTCCTGAGAGTGGTGCGTGCCATCTGCTGTTACACCGCTGTACCTTAATTTGGACAAGATTTATGATTTGTAATATGAAGATAATGCAGACCAATACATCAATGGAGTTTTCCAGGGCTGGGACAAAGCTGAAAGAGCTGTTTGTGGTTCCCTGACAGGTCACAGACAGACTAGTTGAAAGCTGCAACGTAAAGGAGGAGCTGTGCAGGAGAACCTAATAGCGAAGTAGTTATTATGAGCCAAATTCATGGTCTGCTGGAGAGCTGCAACAATAACAGGCGCCTAAGAAGCGCCACTTGCCTAAGCTCCTGTTTTGAAATCTGAAGGAGTGTTTCCATTGTAAGTGAAGCTCGTGAGGTCAGGCCAAGATGTTTCATGTGGGTTACGGTGCAGGGAACAGACTTTCTGCACTAGGTCTGTCTTTCATGTTGTCATTGTGGGAGACTAGATTTAGCCTCTGGGTCCCTCCTAGTGCTGAACTTGCATCTAATGCCAGGGTTTGGGGGAGTCCAGGCTTTCCTTAGCCAGCTTTCCCTTCCATCACAGTATTTGCATGCTGGACCTGACCCATCCATGTTGTTTCTAAGGTGGTGGTGTTACTGTGTGGAAACAAGCATAGGTCTTGTGATGGTGTTTGGAAGCTAATGGTGAAAAAGTGATGCCTCATTTAGCTTTGACCATGTTGTAATCCCAGATGAAACATCAGCCGTTGAGATGTGACCGTGTAGCTATGCTGGCAGCCAGGCTGTAATAATCCTTCCACCACTCCCACTTCCTTTTCTTTGCACCCAACTGCATTATATCAGCATTAAGGAAAACTCGCTGATAATGTTTTGGGTGCTATATGATTTTTTTTTTCTTCGCTGGTCTGCAGTCCTGACTGCTCTGATCTTCCTTCCAGCCTCCCCGCCTAAACAAAATTGAACCCGATTTAGGCTCCCACAAAAGACACAGACGCACAAAATTTTGATTTGGAATTGCATGTGAATGGAGAGACTGATGACTTCTGTGAGTCAGGGAGAAAAACAGAGGTGAGCTAAAGCATGTGTAGGCTTCGAACTGCTTCTGCATAAATTTTCACAAGCAGAAAGAAACTGCATTCTGCCTTGAAGAAGCAGTTTCATTTGGTCGTGCTTTCTAGAGCGCAGCTAAGCAGAGCCCGAGCCTGCCGGAGGTGCGGGCAAATGGATTGTTATACTTTGACCCGCGGATCCTGTTCAGCTCCACACCTTGGGCTACGGCACATTAAAATGTAACCGTTTTTTTTTTTTCTATGACAGAGTTGTGCTTTTTTCTGAGCAGCCACATACAGACTCAGAGCAGCTAGGGAAGAGTAGTTACTCAGGGCCGTTTGTTGGATCTTATAAATGAAGCCATTCAAAACTATACCACCTCTCAGAGGTGTACTCACGTATTTTTTTTGGTTGGCGGTGGGGTTTAAGGGCCATGTCCCCCAAATTATCTCCCTGCTTCAACTTGGGGTGGAGGTGCTGCGCAGGGTAGGTGACCCCCAAAAGGGCAAAGTGACGCGCTGGGCTGGGCAGCCAGGTTTTTTCCTCCCTTCCTTCCCCACTGTTCAATACTGGCCACAGCCCTATCTCTCAGGGAGCAGTTTCGCTGCAGGAAAACGTGAGATTTGGCCCCACTAGCCCGGAGTGCTGATCCTCCCCCTGCGACACCCAGTACAACAAACTACGTCTGATGCGAGCAACAGCTCAAAAAGTAGCAAATATTTTTAAGCATTAAATGGTGAAGTTTCTCACGAATACTTTTGCAAGTGTGCATTAGCTATTTGCAGCTTATGAATAAGAACCAGTCTACTGTACATGGCTAAGCACTACCAAGGATGATCTGCCGTATGCAAATCAGTCGTCAAAATTAGCTTTTGGCTAGGACACCTAGTCCAGCTAACCCTCTTCACTAGAGTGCAAGATAGTTTCTGCATTTTGCTTACTGGTGCTTTGTCCAATCCCCTTTTACTTCTTTCAAAGGTCGGAGCGTTCTCCTATTCTTGCTCTTTCTCAAAAAAAGGTCTCTATTTTCTGTTAGACGTTGCCTGTGTATTATGCAGCGTTTATTACCGGGTTTTTCTCATTCTCTGAACCAGTACAAGAGCTCTAAGGTACTCCGGTTGTACATGGAAGGAATAATAATAATTACTTGCTCATCTGAGTGAGCTTGTCCTAATTTTTCCACTCTGCCTGAAGGCAGAGGCTAAAAAATTAAATTCAAAACCCTGTCTTCATATATCACGCAACGCGAGGTCTAACCAAGGAAAACGCAAACTTCTCTTTTTTTCCCCCCGTTCACCTCAATGAACGAGTAGAACAGCTGCCCAGAATGCACTCACTCCGAAGCGGTTACAAAGCATTAAGATGTAAAAGCAATAAATATCACAACAACTTTTTCTTTTTTCGCTTGCGATTTGGGTTCTAGAGCCCGTCAGCCTCATGGTTCCCAGCTTGTCCCAGTAACCATGGATACCAGGAACAGATTCGGTTTTGAAAGAAAAATGGAGATAGTGTGTTGAGCGCTTCAGGAACAGGCTAAATATCACAAGATGGTAATGAATCACGAAGCTGCAATATTCCCCTCTGAACAGAAGCAGCCACATTCTGGGCTCGCAGATTGTTTTTTAAACACCAGAGCATTAGTGCTGATCTGTGGCTTGACTGCAGAGATCTCAGCAGTAAGTCCAAAAAGGGCTGCTCTCCAAGAAAAGTTCTGAGCCTGGAGCACTGTAGGGATGGGAATTGAATTCTTTGTTCTCTTCTCTGATAGAAAAAATGAAAGTCGAAGGAGGGCAAAGTTTCCCTTCCTGCCTTAAAGACAAAGGAAGTTTTTATGAACTAATACAGATGTAGCCAGAGATCTTAAAACTGTGCAAGAATCCATCTTTCGTCCCCGGCGGTAAGAGGCTCAACCACTCTGATGCATCCGTACCCCAGAAATTTCAGTAATTGGTACCTGCTTACCTCCTTCGCCCTTCAAAAGGTGTCTCCTCACAGGGCAGGTGGGTTTGGTGGTGAGAGACGGAGGAAGTACTCCAGATTTATTTGTTGACCAGTAACCCAGCTCGTTTCCCTTTTGAGTCAAAGAGCTGCACTTCCCTTTCTTGTGCTAGATAAACCTACTGATGTCCGTTATCGCCGTCTGAAAGTGCCTGTACGATTGTTTGATGTTCTCAAAAGTGCTGATATTGCACATAACATCAGGAAAAGCAAGCTTCTGCTGACTGCATCAGAATTCATTGAACGGCTGGCCTGACCTGCCCCAGCAACAGAAGAGTCTGCAGAGAAAAACAGCCGCTCGAGAGCAGCAACTCCAGGGAATGGTCCGTTTCGGAGCCAGGCCACCACCAAGACCACGGCTATCCTAAGTGCTGCTCAGCTGACCGCCTAGCCCAGAAATCTCTTGGGGACCAGCAGTGACGCGTGCTCTTCAAGTCAATGGATTTTCCTGAGCAGCAGAGAGATGAACTAAAATTCCAAGGATAAAGAGTGAAGCTGGGTTACACAAGTTGGTCCTTGTGTAAAGTCAGACAGTGGCTTTAATGCTGCCGAAAGACCTCTTCAGGGTTCATCCTGCATCTGATTTTAGCTCTAGAAGCTTCACTGGCAGCTCATGATGGTTTGGGGAATCAGGAAGTTTTGAGGAAATAGGACACTGAGGACTCTGCAGGAGAGGTTTTGATGGCGTGATGGAAGATACAAGAAGATGCACATGCACGTGCGACTGAGAAACTGCAGATCTCTGCTAAGCAGGCGGGCCCAAGGAAGAACCGTGAAACCAGCAGTATGTGTCTGTGGGAACATGGGGAGGGAAAGGCCAGCTGCTGGAGGAGAAGAGTTTGGGCAGAAAATGGAAGAACCGGAATGGCCAGTGCCTTGGTTGAAAGAGACAGCGGGGGACTTGCAGGAACCACAGTGCGGTATCGAAGGATTACCCAAGGAAAGGGACAAAAGATGAAGAAGCAAATAAGTCTAAGAGAAGAGTCAATGAAGTCTCTTTACAGTCTGTAGCGAGAGGCACCTCCAGAGAGCAAATCGTCCACCTGACGACCCAAGTTCCTTTGCAGAGGCGCAGACAGTGCCTATGTATAAAAGGAGG